GCGAACGAGACGTGAGATGTGCGGATCCATGTGCAAGGCTTTATTTACAAAGGCGTGGTCAATAAACAGGCAAGGGTCAGATAACACTGGTATATCACAGGCAAGACAAAGAATATTCCTAGGGCTAGCATGGGTCTTCGATCAGCGAACAGTATCCAGACGGCTTGACAAGAGGGGTAATCCAATAACACGAGCAATAGTCCAGGCGAGGTGCAAACTAGTGATGTTCGGTTCTTGAACGAATCGTTCTTTTGAGCCGGTTCTCAGGAAGTAACCGGTCGAGCCGGTTCACAAATCAAACTAAATCGAACTTTAGTTCCACGTTGATGATGCAGGATGCACAAACAAAGTAGCGCGTCCAACTCAAAAAGAACCGATTGAGCCGTTTCAACCAACTTTCAAAGTTTGCCGAAGATTAACGAGGACTCAACAAGAACCGAATGAGCCGCGGCGAAGTTTGCAGAGGATTACCGAAGATTCTGATGAGTGAGTTGACGACACTGTGCAAGCCTGAGGCGCGTACTGTATATATGCTTATTATGACTGTTATTAATTTACATTTTATTAAAACCTGCAAAAACCTTTCTGTCAAGTGATGTAAATAAATTTTTACAAAGGTTTATTGTGCATGCATATTATATGTACAGTTGCTTAAGCAAAATCAAGGAGTTAATAAGACTGGTTTATTCATTCTTTATACTGTAGACATGTAGAACATATCCACGTTTGTGCATCAGTGTCTGTAATGTGTGCTGTAGGTGTGAAACTTTTAGGAATCTTATCCAAGTTGTAGGCAAGGCAATATTGGTCAGTCAGTATCTGACAAAGTATCCGCGAATGAAACTGTGACCACAAACACCATTAACTTAAGTGAATTATTTAATAATCAGCAATATGCTTTCACACAAATAACTTATTTGAATTTTTCATTGATACAACATTGCACTGAGTTAGAAAAGAAATGCGTAGAGATGTTATTGCTTGATGACGTCAGGAACCGATGAATCTGCTTTATGAGCCGGTTCAATGAGCCGATCTGTCCGAAAAGAACCGGTTCGTGGAAATGAATCGGACTTTGCATCACTAGTGCAAACACAGTCCGAAACAGCAAGACAAAGGATTAATCCAAGAAACACAGGCAGAAGGTCAGGAAACAGACAACAAGGCAACACGACTAGACTAAGAATAGAACTAGAACTGGGAACTAGGAATGGCTCCATAATGCAGCTATCGCTAGAAGAGTGATATGCGCTAAACAATACTCGGCAGTTTGAGAAGGATCTGAGTGAGTGTAATATAGTGTGTGTGTGTGTGTGTGTGTGTGTGTGTGTGATTGATTACAGCTGTGTGCAATCAGTGCAATGGATGATGGGAAATGTAGTCCGTGGTGACGTGTAACAGTCTGTGTTACTGTGGCGATCGGACGGAAGTCCATGGACAGGATTCGTA